AAACAACATCAAAAATATTTGGAAAACTAACTACCTTGCTTTAATTAGGGAATAAGAAAAGAATCTAGCAGAATGGAAAAACCTATTTGTTTTGTGGATGGGCAGGATAAATATAATAAAAGCTTACGCATTCCCCAAGTGCTTATACCGCTTACGTATGATCCCCCTTAAAATTCCTATACTGTGACTATTTTCAAAAAATCACAGAGAAGTTTATATGGTTGGGGGAAAAAAAAACTAGAATCTGTAGAAACTTACTATATACTATGGTTCATTAAGGAGGGCTAAACCTACCTAAAATGGAAAACTATGCCAATAGAACACTGGTACTTGATAGACTCTGATCTACTAAAAGTCAAGAATTTAGAAAATATTTTGTGGGCTCATAATAATGAGATTAAAACCATAATTGTACATAATACTTTTAACATTCTTGACAACATTATTAATGGTTGGACAAGACTTAAGAAAAAAGTTTTATTTTTTTGTTTTTTTTTATTTTTTACATTTATTTAAATTCTTTATTTTTGGTGCAATTCGTATAAAATAGGCACAATCAAATGGCCATTGCACAATGAGCAGTAGTAGACAGAAAATAGCATTGACATTGTTGCATTCTCAAGCATGGCAGTCATTTTCATTGCACAATTTTTTTAATATGGTTGACTGTTCGGTTGTAGTGAAATAGATAGTGTGTGTGTGTCAATGCCTCCTCGCTATGCTAGCTGTGGGTATTGGTTTAGGCCAGTTAAGAACACTGTCTCTTAGGTGGCTGGCTAGCTACCTGGCTGCCGGTAGTTGAGGTGATTTAACAGCTTTGATTTAGTTCCTAGCGTAGGGGTTATAGCTCCTTTGGGTGTCCATTGTAGTGCCTATTGTAAGTTTATGCTTGGGGAGCTAAAAGGTAGGTAGTGGTGTGGTTTGGGGGTTGGGGGTTTATCCCGGTATTGTGTCTAGGTGAACCCTTTTCTCTGGTCATACCCTCGTACCCCTGCATTCCTTACCCCGCTGGGGGGGGATGGCCACAATGGCTCCCATGGAGAGCACCTTATGTGTCGTTGGCGTAGAGCAGGTGAAGTGTTGTTACCTTCCAAGTATGCTGTGGGAAGGCAGTACATCAGCAGATATCTTTAGGGACAATTTAACTGACAAACATATTTACAGAGAGAAACAATAAACCATAAGTAAAATATTGCATTATAGGTTGGCTGCTTGCTGAAGACTTTCAGGTCGTAGGCCTCTTATCCCCTCTGGGCTCAAATGTGGCTGTGACAGTTCGGGAGGGAGTGCAAGGTAATCCTTGACTTGGGGTGCTTTGTGGTTGGAGGCCCAGTGCCGCCAGTAGGGCAGGGATTTCAGTTTGTTCTGTAGCCTTATACGACTTCCCCTCCTTTGTGACCCATACCGATCTTGGTGTCGCCCATCGGTATGACAGGCCTTCCGTTTGTAGTCTTTTCGTGAGGGGTTGCATAGTTTTCCTCCACACCAAGGTAGCTCTACTTAAGTCCTGGAAGAATGAGATTTGGCACTGTTCAGGAGACTGTCCCTTTAGTGCCATTAAGAGTAAATCGATTGACATCTCAGTATAATGTTGCGGGATGCGGAGGCTGGGGCTTGTGGGCACTTAGCAATCCTGTATACCCCATCGAAGGTGAAGTATTTGGCTTGCTTTGCCGGCAGGAGGGATGTCACTAGTCGTCGTATAAATATGTGGTAGCTCTTTTAGAAGGCTTGTTTCCAGGACCCCTCGTATTTTAATATTCTTCCTATGCCCCCTGTCATCTAATATGTTCACCTGTTTGCACATTTCGACCTGTGCTGCTTGTATTCCTTGTACTTGTTCCCCCAGTGTTTTAGGCCTTGTTTAAGGTTGAGTACCTCTTCCTCCGTGGCTTGGGTGCGCGCCGTGACGGCCTGTACCTCAGTGGTGAAGACCGCCAGATCCGTTTCCCACATTCTCCTAAGGTTGTGTTGGAGGCCTGTGAGCATATCCTGTATCTGTAGTTTGGTTGCAGGAGCTGGTGCCTCTGTTAACCTGTGCTGGACTCCGAGGTGAGACTGGATCGGGTGGGGGATGATTCCCTTGAGGGTGAGGATTCCCGCGAGGCTGGTGCTGGTGCCTAGGGTTGCAGCATCTGACTGATGTCACACTGTGTCTTGGCGGTGTTCGCTGGCTGCTTTTGGGATTTCCTCCCCATTTTGCCAGCTGGTAGTAAGTGTGATAGCAGTGCTGTCAGGTCCGGGTCGCTCCACGTTGGGCTGCCTCCTAGGCTTGCAAGGGTCTGGTTGCCCACGCGATAGGCCTTGAGGCCGCGGGTGTGGGGTTTCTTGCCTGAGGCGAGAAAGAAAGGCATCGGCCGCTGCAGGACAGTGTTCTTCGGGTGAGTCTGCCCCTGTATTCGCCGTTGGCGGCAGGATGCTGGCAATATTCAATAAATTGCAAGATTGGCCACAGGAGCTAGGCAGTATGGTGACTGTCAGGGGAGGGCTGGCAGCCTTAGGCCTCGGGGGCAAAACCAGTCAAGTGGCCCATTGCACCACCAAATCAGTTCAATGGTGCCCACCTTTTCCTGGTTTTATAATGTGGGGATATTTATGGGATGATAATATTAAGCAGTCGAGAATTGCCCACTATTTCAATTCTCTTAGATGTTAGAGATCGTTTATCATGTAAGTGAAAAGTATTCCATCAATAATTCACAATTTGTTATAAAAATAGATTTTATTTTATAATAACAATTAATTAACAATAATACTAGGCAGCATGCATAATAATAATAATCAGTGAATATTTAGTATAACATAATATGCAATACAATGGAATGGGTATACACGTTTCAATGGCTAAACAGCGTGTTCTGTCAAGACTTACACGATTTGAGGGTATCCTTACAGACAGAAAGTGAAGCTTTTCACAGCGAAGGACCATAAAACCCTGGCTAACAGTTAGATCAACTGAGTAACCCTCATTTCCTGGAACCATCCAATAAGAATAATCTACCAGATTTTTACAAAAGTCAAAACCGAATTTTAATTTGGTTAAAAAGATATCTTATTTTAGAGCAAATCAATACACCTAGATAAAAACAACGGTATGCTAACACGTGATAATATCACATTAATATATAATTATTCTTAATTCCACCTGCAGAATGGAATGTTTATAACTATATATTCTTTAGTTAACTAAGATTTCTAAATATTGAAATCTGACCGTGATTTATCCAGTCATATATAATGCTATTAGTAAATTTTAATTAATTTAAATTAATTAAATAAAACCAGCATAATTACCAGTTATGTAGATATTCTTATCAGATGAGTAGGTAGTCCCAGAGACTTGATTGGTTGTATGTAGGTGCATGAGTTATAGTGAAACGTGGTGTTGGTTAGAAAGTCAGTAAAATTCTAAGTGTTTAAGAGTAGAGTGTTAGTCCCAGAGATTGTTTCTGAGTCCCTCTCTCTGCATGTCCGAATCGGAATCCCCAAACTTCAATTCATCTCTCTGTCTCTCTCCAACTACCCTGTCTTCCCGTTGTCCTAACTTTTAAAGGGCCGGACTCTCTGTACGTCATTAGTTGATAACCCAATAGGCAGCCGTAGGTGTGTCCAATCGATGGATCGCAATTTAGGTATTTGATCCATAGATGGCAGTCTCGTCTAACGAAACCTTCCTATCCAGGAAAGAGTTAACTTTTCCTGATGACGATTTTGACGTCATTTGGCTTATCTAAAATGACTACCATAACTTAGATTTGCTGTCAGTTCAAAGCATTTGTTTCAGTCTTTGTGGCAACTACTTTGATCGTAACTTGTAAAATTGACAGTTCTAAACTCAGTTTCTTACCTTGTAAAATTTAGAGAGTAAAATTAATTACTTAGTCTTCTCTGTCACTAGTGTCTGTGTTTAGATAATTGCATCTATTAACATTTTAGACAGAGCGTTCCATCCCCCTTGCTTCATTACTTATATTGGTTTGTTTATGTAATACATTCCTCAGCGCAAGCAAGTGGCTAGTTACTGAAAGTAAGAAGAAACCAAGGAAATTATGTGTTTTTGTTATCCTGAAGATAGCAAAATGGAGTCTGTTTTGTTCTGAGTGGCTGTGGCAATATACACTTTTAATTTCTTTTTAGCACAAAATGTCTGTTGAAATAAATATTCTGACATCCCCCTTAGTGACCTGTCATGGCAATGAATAATTTAGCCTATGAATAGGCACTATAGAAGTTACCAGACATATTGTGCACTCACATCATTTCTACTGACGTAGGCCCGTGCGTGGAATTAATGTTTGTATATTTTTGTACCTGTAAGAGCTTTGAACTTTACTTAGTACAATCAACCATAACATTATTATTAACATAGTACATTGTTTTCATTTGAAAAATGTTTTTGGGAGTTACATATGGTATGGCCAATAAAAAGCAAATCTCCATACGTTCCGGATCAATTAAGAGAGGTATAGCGCTCCCTATCGCAAAGGCCAGATTTAATTGCACAGGCTCAATTGTTTCTCCATCCACATTGGTAAGCATCGCATGAACAATATCCTTGGATACAAAATACAGAGGTATGCGTCCCCCTGCCAATTCAATCATTCCAGTTTGCACTTCGGCAAGAAAAGCAAGTGTGTGGAACAATATTGGGTCATGCAGAAATAGAAGTTCACGCTTAAATAAGTCATGACTTTGGTGCAACTCAGTGGATTTGGCAATTAACTCCGAATGCAAATTTGTTGTAACAACTGTCTTCCACAATAGTTAACACGTCTTGGAGAAGTGTTCTTTGCTGGTTTATCACCTGATGAATATCGTTAATGTGTTGCTTTAGCGCATAGATTTCCATATCCAGCTTTTGGACAGTAATAGAGTTGGCTGCAGACATTCCAGTTGCGACAACTGCACCGACAGTGGCACAAACTAATGCAACAATTATGGCGGTGAGGAACCTTTTGGGTCGGTTGCTCATCAAAATAGTACTGGATACAAATGGTTTTTCAGGCTTGCTCCAAGATGTTTCGCACACGGTCCTGTTCTCTTTGGAGGTGCATCTGGTACCAAGTCTGTAACTCAGGAAGCTGCATCGATGAAATGTTGTATGCCTTCTCGATGGAAATCTTGGGGTCCAAGCTGACGAACACACGTCGGGTCAGGATCCTCTTCTCTGTCAAGATGAACCCTGGTGTCTCTTGAATCAGGATGCCGGAGGATGGTCCCATCTCTGCAATCGGGTCGGTCCGTAGCTCTTGGCAAAGGAGCAGTACGATCCAGAAACGCGCCACATCCTTCTTTGACATCTTTCGACAGTCACGGATTAGGAACTCGTTTCAGACTTATCTACTAATGATTCAAGGTTTGTTAAGCATACAAACTTATAACAGTGTGACACCACTTGGCCTAGGACAACACATTATTACGATTCATCAACATATGTATTCTCTCTAATTCTATTTTTATACTTCATCCCTCACTACATTTGGGCAACTGACTCTTCAGTAATTCGCCTATAGCAATTAAACAAGCTAGTAACCTGCTTAGAAAATGTAGTTATTGGATGGCAAGGAAATGGTAATGACATGAACGTACATGAGATCATGGCACATCACAACATTTCACATCATACGATACCACGTGAATCAAGCATTCATCCAGGTTAGTCGTTCACCCTTCTGCGTCCGAATCCACACCTATAATCTTTAATTGAGATTTAGGATGACAAGCACGCAACTGGTTAATGTGAACCCACTTTTCAATAAAATCACCATCCTTAGGAATTTTTATCTTATACGCTACTGGGGAAATTTTATCAATGATGACATATCTCCCTTTCCAAGAAGGTAAAAATGTATTTTCCTTAACTGGATTTCGCGCAAAGTTATACAGATAGACTTGATCTGTGATCTCATATTCCTTTTTCGTGGTTTTTAAATCGTAATAGGTCTTAACCCTTGTCGCTGCCTTTTCTAGATTCTTTTGGGCAAAAGCAAATGCATGCTGTAAATGCTTGCGCAAATCTTCGATATACTGATGCGTAGTGGCAGCATTGATCAAGTTATGATCTGAAGTACGATATAGTAAATGCTGTGGTAAAACCATCTTTCTTCCTGTCATCAATTCAAAAGGTGACAATTTGGTAGTAGTGCTAGGTGTAGCTCTAATCGCCATTAAAACTAGGGGCAGTTTAATGTCCCAGTCTTTACCAGACTCTTTAACATATTTCTTCAGAATATTAACGATAGACTGGTTATATCGCTTTACCCCCCTTCCCCCCCCACTAGACGGAGCGCGGTATGCAATATGTAGCTTTCGTTTAACACCTAGAATTTTCCATATCTTAGCCATTACTTCGCTGGTAAAATGACTACCTCTGTCTGACTCAATTCTTTGAGGCAGACCGAACCTGGAAAAGACATGGTTAATCAACAAAGTGGCGCACACGGTACTCGTTTTCTCTTTACAAGGCAAACACTCTATCCACTTTGTGTACATACATGTAACGGTTAACATGTATTTGTTACCTCTCGAAGATCTTGTTACAGGACCTATAAAGTCAATTTGAATATCAGACCAGGGTAATGACACCCCCCCTCTTCTGAAGTGGTGCAAGATGTGTTGGACCATGGGGTTGATATTGCGGACAAATCAAGCATCCCTGACAGTATGTCTTAACATCCCTTAACATGTGTGGCCAATATGCATAATCACGCAATATCTCATATGTGATCTTATCACCATGATGCCCAGATGTAGGTGCATCATGTGCGTGTTGGAGCATTAACCCTCTGTATATTGTTGAGACTACCCATTGTTGTATACCATGTTTAGAAATTCTGACCGGCAACCCATCCATGATACTAAATTGGACTTTATATCTCATCAAGATTCGTAAATCTTCATTATCTTTGCAATCCTCATCTGTGATGGGATTGGCAGTAGGGTCTTCTATATGTCTATAGAATATGTCTATGACGGGATCGTTCTTTTGACTGGTAATGAGGTCCTCACTAGGAGCTTCTTGACTCCATTGCTCGACGTTTAAGTCGGCATTATCTCTAGCCTGTCGTCTAGTTATGGTTCAACATGAATTGAACTCATAAGATCATCAATGTTTAGGGTTTCACCATTGATGGCAGCTTGTTTTGCCAGTGAATCGGCTAAGTCATTACCATCCTTGTCAATACCTTCTATTTTAGAATGGCCTTTGGTTTTCTTCTAATATATGGTTAAACCAGTTTCCTTAACCAGTTCATCAATTTTACAAAACAATTTCCCAGGTTTAACAGGTTTGTTATTGCTTTTCAGCATTTGGTTACGTTTCCAGCTAGGCAGATAGCTGACAAAACTGTTGCGAACATAGTTGGAATCAGTTATAATAACAAATTCTTTGATACCATATTCTATTGCCATTTGAATGGTCTTATATACTGCACAGAGTTCGGCTATCTGACTGCTTTTGGAACCAATATTGTATCCTACAGATACATTGGGATAATCACCTGTCCAGGCGATTCTGATACCTGCAACTAACTTCCGTTCAGCACCAGCGGCGTGGTGATATGAACAACCATCAATGTATACCCACGGTATTAACAGTATTCCTCGTCATAAACTTTATAAGGGGATAGCAATTGCTCTTCTAGGAAGTCATCTCCTGTGTTATCATCCAGAGATGGAGCAGTACAGTCATGTAATTCTGCTAAACCTTGGGCAACTGGGCTTCTCTTATCATGTTTATAACGGACTTCTAACGGCCATCCCTGTAAGGATAGAGTCCATGCAGTAATCCGACTGTTAGAGAGATTACCGTCTCTGATTCTTTCACTCTGCAGATACTGTAGAGGTTGGTGAGCTGTTTCTACAATTATTTTCTCACCTTGGATATAGCTACCAAAATTTTGTAGTGCCCAGACAGTCGACAATAACGCCTTCTCATACGTGTTGAATTTAACTTCAACAGGTGACAAAGTCTTGCTAGCAGATGCAATAACTTTGTTTAGACTGTCCTGCTTCTGATACAGAACAGCACTTATGCTTAAATCGGTATATCCTGTCTCCAGATAGAAGGGTTTACCCCCCTCCGGGTATGCTAAACAGGGTGCCTGAGTGAGCTTGGTCCTGAGGCTCCCCCAGTTCCAGGTAGTTTCCTTTTTAAGCAGGTGTAAGACTGGTTTCGTTATTTCTGCATAGTTATCTATAAACTTACGGGAGTAATTAGTCATACCAAGGAACGATCTTAATTCCCTGATGTTTGAAGGTGTTTTAGCCTTAATTACAGCTTCAACCTTCTTCCTCTGAGGATTTAATCCTTCAGAAGTTACCTCATGTCCGAGGAAGATGACATGGGTGCGACACCATTGCGCCTTTTGTAAGGACAGTTTAATCCCTGCCTCTCTTAACTGAGTGAGAACATGTCTGATCTCTATGATATGCTCTATATAAGTGCTTTTCAGCACGACATCGTCAACATATGATAACGTTCCTCTCTCGAGTGCGTCAGGCATAGCTTTATGCATGAACACAGCGAATTCATGACTAGAGTTTATGTAACCGAAGGGCATACAGGTCCAGGTATACTGCTGCTTTCCAAATGTGAAGGCCAATTTGTATTGGTCTTCATCATGGACTGTTACAGTCCAATATCCCTGCGCACAGTCAATGGCAGTGAATATTTTGGATCCCTGCATTTGTACCAAACATTGGCCAACCAGACATATAGACGCGTTTATTTAGCTGTCGTAAGTCAGCGCACAAACGCCACTGTTCATTAGGTTTCAGAATCCCCAAGATCGGATTATTATACGAACTGTGCACTGGACGTATAATGCCCCTTTCCTTTAAATTCTGAATGATGTCTTGTAGACCATCATATGACGCTAATGGAAGTCTATATTGTTTGATAAATACAGGTGGTAAATTTGGATCAGTTTGTATTCTGGCTACGTGGAGGTTAGTTACCCACAGTCGTAGGAATCTTTGGCAAAAATATCTTGGAATTCCATTAGGATTTCCTTTAGCTGTTGCCGCTCAGCATCGTTGGGGCAACCGTCAGCTAAAGATATTTGCTCTTCTAGCCTTTCCTGAAATCCTGGAAAGATTTCAGGCTGGCCTATCTCATAAGCTTCTTCAAGCCTAGAAATTAGGTCAGTTCGGTGTTGACTTACCTTTTCTCTTTGGTCGTGATACTCTTGTGATTCCTGCTCATTGAGCGGATGATCGAAGGTGATTGATGCTTCTTCGATTTTACACGAGCCTTCTTTGACGTTGAAGGGATACACAGATAGGATAGTTAATAATCCTTCTGGGGAGGAATGGAATATTTGATCGACAATTTCGTCCTGTTAATGAATTCTTCAGGGATGAGGCCTATAATTTGGTTTTGGAAACCAAATGTATAGTACTCAGCATCCAATGCTAGACCTAATAATGTTCCTTTTGGTAAAGTAACACTATTGGGTGTAATATTGTTGACCATTATATAGGTGGGATTCTTACCAATACTTACCATTGGTGTATGTGTTACCACCATCCCTAATTGTTGTATCCTGTTGGATAAACAGATTAGGGCATCAGAGTTTTCCAATCTCTGACCATTCTTGACCTGTAGGGGTAAAAGAAAGTTACTTGTCCCCTGTGGAATGGTTATGTCATCAGGAACTTGGATACTTACCGCATATGGGAGTATTTGTCCTGATTTAAGGGTATTTTCCTCGTGTAGGTAACCACAAGGATTACCTTTTAACCTTGTTCACAAGTTGGAATTAATCAGGTCAAGGTGTATGGGAAAGCGATGTATGACATCATTACCAATGTAAACCTAAAAGAGAGGTTTGTTTATCACTAGGAATAAATGCTTAACTGTCTTATTTCTGATGGAAATAGGTAGTAAACATTTTGCTATCACATTGTGACTCTCTGATTCGCCATCCAGGTTTTGGATCCACCTGTCATGTGGGGAAGTGTACCTGATAATTTTAGGATTAGCGATCTGCTTTAACAGACTTCTGCTAATATAGCTGTTCTCACTCTGTAAGTCCAGCTTTGCATTCCTACTTCTTCCTAAGTCACTTATTTGAATAGGAAAGAATAAGTTATTAACCCTTTCAATTCTGGCAAGGAATTGAGCATGACCTGCCAGATCTGCAGATTCAACATAGTCCCTGTTGAGAGAAATGGTTAAAACATCACCTTCCAGAGAGACATTCTGGATCCTCTCTGGAGCAACTCTTACGGAATGCTCATCTACAGGTGCAATTGCATCATTCACCTGCAGGATAGTCATGTCAGGTGACTGACTATT